GGAATAATGACCAGAAGGCCTGGATCATGGGAAGGGATCACGGCAGTCGGATTTGAGAGTGTGTGACCAGGCGCCCTCTTCCTAGGTAGTTTTGAAGGCATCTTGTCAGCCAGAGGCAAGGAAGGTTGCGAGTGTAACATTGGGGAAAAGAAGCAGAAGCAAAGATACGTCCCTTCTAACGAGAGCAGCCTCAGATGGCTGGACCAGATGAGGGACGAAGGACGGACCCGCACGTGGCAGTGCGTGCACTAAGGTACTTAGGTGCCTAGGTACACTAGGTAGGTGAGGTGCCTAGGTACCTCCTTGAGGAAGGCAGCCCCCCCTGTTAGGGGCTGGCCGCGGCACTCGTAGTGGACCCTCAGCCCAGAGCCCTTTAAGCCCCTGGCCATAGCATCCATATCCCGTGGATAAGCTCCGGATACCGATCTTTGGGTTCGTTCGGTTCGTCAGACCTCCTGGGGCACCCACCTCAGCTTATCGCCCCGATAAGCGGTCCACGGGTACGTATTCTTGGGGCAGGTACATACTAAGCACACCTCGGGCCAACACACAGCATAACGTACAATCTTGTCTGAAACACCATTCAACGCCCCAGGCCCAGCTTTCCAAGAACCCAAGCTCCTCTCCTCGCCAACCCTCGTCTCGTCGTCTTGTCTCCTTTGCTTGCCTCCTGTCTTCTGAGTCCTAGTCCTCCCAATGAACGACGGCGCTTACCGGAGCAGAGACCAGGACCAGCATCTCTCTCTCTCTCTTCTCTTGGTATCTGTGTTCCGTCGTATTCAGTGCTGACATTGTCACTGGTCCTGTTACACGCCCCTCTCTCTCCCTTCTACTGCTCTCTCGCAGCTCAGCTCTGACTGTCACTTGAGACTAAGGAACCCTTCTTGCCGCACAGAAGAGACGTTCCCGCCTTCGCGCTTTACCCTTCTCGCCATGATCTCATCCCATCCTCCTCTGGCTGCTCCAAGGACCCATGACCCAGACCCAGAACCAGGCCCAGGGACACCACCTTGACCAACCCCTGACTGTGATCTTCGGCCTGGCTCTCCAGGTGGCCCCTGTCAGGGCGCAGCCAGCGCCATGCGATGCGCTGGCTCGACGAGAAGCCAGCTCCTGATGCCGACTTCAGATGAAGCCTTGTTTTGTTTTGTGCTTGTTTCTAGGCTGCGAGAAAAGGCACCGCCAAAGACGACCATGGCGCTGTTGTCACCACAGCAGGACCTGGAGGATTCACAACCTGCCATGAGCTGCTGCGCCTGCGCCTGCTCCTGCTTATCCTCTGCCCTTCCCCATGCTCCTCATCCTCAACTCGACCTTGCTCCTGCTGACCTCTACTCTGCTTCTTCCTGCTGTCACTCCAACCAATCTTCCTGCTCCATCATCACTTCCAAATCCGGCTTCAGCTCCACGGCGTCCAGCTCTGCCCTCCCACCTCCTCGACCGACACCCTGCACCCAAAAGATTGGCGTCAAGGATCAGCATCGCTCGCCCTCCCCATCCTCGTCTTGTCCGTACCCGCCATCCTACCCGCACCCTCGTCCGCTCCATTGTTGCTGTGCCGGTCCACCTGTTCGGAGGGAAGCTGGACAAGGGGCACATGGACCGAAGACCTCGCCCGCTCCTGATATATTTAACATCCCGGCCATCCTCCCCCGGTGTTGGCGTCTCATTGTTCTCGCCATTGCAGCTAATACTTATATCCTCCTCCTCCTCCGCTCGCACTCTTCAAACACCAGACGAGAAGGAGAAATATCACAACACGGCTTCGACTCAGTGCTCGCTTCTATATACTTAATAATCGCCAACATGGTCGCCAACATCGGCAGCTTGGCTGCTCGCGTAGTCTTCCTCATGTCTACCCGCCCCATCGCCGAGAGGGCAGACGCCGCCTCTTACACCAGCAACGCCGTCTCCTCTATCAACGTCCTCCAGAATACATGGTACAGCGTCAGCACCGGTCTTTGGGATAATGCCTGGTGGAACAGCGCCAACGCCTTCACAACCCTGGCCGACTTCGCAGACCTCAACCGCGACGCTGCCAACCAGCTCAACATCGGCGGCATCCTCAGAAACACCTTCAACCAGGCCCAAAAGACCACGGCCTCCGTCTCCAAGTCCATGAACGCAGCCGGCCTCGTCACGTCCTCCTACGCCATCACCAAGCGTGACTACCCAACCATCAAGGGTCGCCAGATGAGCGCCCAGGGCTTCCCAAACTTCATCAACGACTTCTACGACGACGAGGGCTGGTGGGCGCTCGGCCTCATCCGAGCGTACGACATCACGACCGATCAGGACTACCTCGACATGGCCAAGCGCATCTTTGCCGATATGCAGGGCGGCGGAAACACCAACTGCAACGGCGGCATCTATTGGAGCAAGGACCGCAAGTACGTCAACGCCATCGCCAACGAGCTCTACCTCGCCGTCGCGGCCTCCCTCGCCAACCGCGTCCCCAGCAATGCCGACTACCTCAACATCGCAAAGTCCCAGTGGACGTGGTTCAAGGCCAGCGGCATGATCAACAGCGCGGGTACCATCAACGACGGCCTCGACGGCAACTGCAAGAACAACGGCGCCAACGTCTGGTCCTACAACCAGGGTGTCGTCCTTGGCGGCCTCGTCGAGCTCAGCCGCGCTACCGGCGACAAGTCCGTCTTGACAGATGCCACCAACATCGCCAAGGCCGCCATCAAGGCGCTGACCGACAGCAACGGCATCCTCCACGACACGTGCGAGCCCAACTGCGGTTCCGACGGAAACCAGTTCAAGGGCATCTTCAACCGCAACCTGCGGTACCTGCAGGCCGTCGCGCCCTCTGACGACTTCAAGACGTTCCTCATCAAGAACGCCGACAGCAACTGGTCCAAGAACCGCGACACCGCGGGCAAGCTCGGCGTCGTCTGGTCGGGCCCCGTCCAGGGAGTCTCCGGCCCGACTCACAGCTCGGCGTTGGACTCCATTGTTGCCGCTATTGCCGTCGTATAATCCCTTTTAGACGCTCTCGGACCGCGGATCATAGGACAGGAGTTTTAACCATTTTTTCTACTTTTATCTATTTGGGTTGTACAGGATCGCCAATGGGGTATTGGGATACACTCCTTTTTCTTTCAACGGCGCACGCAGGGACAGGGAAACGGCTTAGACTCGATCGAGATGGGATACCCTCTGACAGGACACTCCTTTTGGAGCCCGGGGAAACAAAAGACACACAAGAAGCCCGGGCGGCGCATGGGGGTTTATTGTTAATGACTCTAATGAGTAATGATACCATAGTTTAGCTGAGCGGTCGTTGGAAACGCGGGGTGGGACGCAAATAACATCTCAATAGTATTGAATACAGACACACTCACACACACACACACACACACACACACACACACAAACACAACATGATCGCCAACACCACCACGATGGCCACTCACACTGGGTCACAACCTGTGTGATACACTCCAAACTGTCAAAGTCCCGCCGCCACACCCTCCAAAACGTCAAATGAGCCCCACGGATTCAGGGGAACAATCGACGGTTGGCGCCATGGACGGCGTTGGCGGTCGAAGCGGCGCGCGCAAGGGTGTGGCTGGATTAGCTCGGCGTGGCTTCACAAAGCCCATATTGAGATTTTCCACGATGCACTGAGCCAAAAGGGAGATCTCCCGTGCCCCCCGATCAGGTTCCCTCCCTCGGGGGGGTTGAACCGGACGAACCTATTTCTGGCTCAATGCTGATCGCTGCCGCTTTAAATTGCCCGACCAAGATCCCTTAAGATTGGCGTGTGTTATGCGGGGGTGGGTGGGCAGAAAGAAGCATGCAGCAGTGCAGTGAAGACGGGAAATGAAATTTGGAGACTATGCATCATCGCCGGATGTTCCTCCCCATGCGAATACTATCAAGGAAAAGGGGCATGTCATGCTTAGAAGCAACAACAACCTTTTGGATCCCGCATGAAAGATGGGAGGACGGTTACGGTCATCGGTGAACCATGGCTTGGCGTGGGGTTCGGATCGAACTTTCAGAGGGGCTTGGGTTCACTCAATGTTCCCTGCAGTAAGTGAGTACATACCCGCCCCGACCTATTCTTCCCCAACTTCTTGCAAATATCAGCTTGCCTGAACCCCCTCACGAGCATCCATCTAATTATTGTGTCTAGCTGCATGTCCGATTTCGTGCAGGCGGAGAGAAGGAAAAGGCCGTTTGTCGGTCATACGCTACCTTGCCTACCACACCCGTATTCGCCTCACCACTAACACCCTCGCTCTCTTCGCGTTTCATTCAATCAAAATCGAAAGAAAACGAAAAAGCCTCTTGTCACCGCATCTCCAAATACCGAGAGAGAACAAAAGAACCCAGTCGTTTCGTATGCCAAACGCAGTGAGACCTTTCGTTTACGCGCCTCCCTTGAGTTGCACAGGAGGCATGCCGCGAGCTGAAGTCCATGACGTATACCTTTTCTGCCAATTCACCCAACCCAAGTGGGCTGGACGGAAATGTACCTCACCTTGTCTCGGGATCCTCGGGATGAACCCTCGCGGCGCGGTGAACATGCAATGATGAAATAGAGTGCGCGCCCATCGCGCCCGCGCAGCGCGCGTGTCTCTCTACCTTTGCACATTCCTCTCACACACCCTCAAAACACAGAGCGAGAGACGTTGTGTTTCCTGAGACGAAGCAGCTAGAAAAAGGTTGTTTCATCCCAACCCGCGCCCACACGTCTGTTGTCCAACCTCGAACTCCTATCATCCCTCCCACGGTGTGCGCCCCATGCTTTCGTAAACGACAAGCCACCCCAAATCCCGCGCGCGCCCATCTTTCCTCCGCACCCCCGTCTCATCTTCAGCTTCAGTTGAACTACCAACTTTGGTTCGAACATCGGCGTCTCGCCTGGTGAGACGTGTCGCGGGGCGGGCCTTGAGAGAGAAGAGAGAGCGGGTGCTCGAGCCTTTCACGGCACACACACATCCACATCCACACAAAACAACACAAGACACCACACTTCCACAATGACAGCCGCCGCATCCTCAGACCCCTTCGGCCAAGTCCTCAAGAACCTGTCCCTGATCGCCCTCAGCCTCATCTTCCTCCCGCTCGACACAGCCATCCTCCTCGCGTGCTATGCGTACCAGCGTCTCCTGGGGCGTCCCGCCCGGGACACCCTCCCTCCTCCTCCCACCGGAGACCAACACCAGCACACCCCACCACCCCGGCCCGCGCGGACGATCCTCGTCACAGGCGTCGGTATGACAAAAGGCCTCGCCCTGGCCCGTCTGTTCCACCGCCAAGGCCACCGCGTTCTGGGCGCCGACTTCTCCCCCCTCGCGGCGGGCAGCAGGTCCCGCGCCCTCGCCTCCTACCACGTCCTCGCCCGCCCGTCCGCCCGCCCCGGCGGCGCCGACCCGTACCTCGACTCCGTCCTGCGCATCGTCCGCTCCCAGAACGTGGACCTCTGGGTGAGCTGCTCCGGCGTCGGGTCCGCGGTCGAGGACGGCGTCGTCAAGGAGGTCGTCGAGGCCCGCACGGCGTGCCGGGCCGTGCAGTTCGACGTCGCCGCCACGCGCACCCTCCACGAGAAGGACGCCTTCATGAACCACACGCGCGACGTCGCCGGGCTGCCCGTGCCCGAGTCGTACCTCGTCACGAGCCGCAACGAGATGATTGCTGCGCTCGAGGACGCCGCGGGGCTGTCCCTGTCCCTGTCGTCGTCGTCCGTCCCGTCATCCGACGAAAACGACAAGACGATGACGTCGCAGAAGCCTAGCGACATCAGCAAGAAAAAGAAGAAGCGTTTCATCGCCAAGGCCGTGGGCCTCAACGACAGGGGCCGCGCCGACATGACCCTCCTCCCGCTGCCCACGGAGAAGCAGACGTACGACTTCGTCTACCGCCTCGAGTGGCTCGGCATGTCGGACAAGCAGCCCTGGCTGCTGCAGGAGTTCATCGACGGCGACGAGTTCTGCACGCAATCCCTCGTCGTGCGCGGGCAAGTGCGCGCCTTCGTGGCGTGCCGCTCCGCCGAGCTGCTGATGCACTACGCCGCGCTGCCGGCAGACTCGGCGCTGTCGCGGGCCATGCTGGAGTTCACGCGCGCGCAGGCCGCCAGCTTCGGGGACCGGTTCACGGGGCATCTGAGCTTTGATTTCATGGTTGATCGGGTTGATGTGAAGGCGGAGACGCCGGAGCAGATCACGCTGTATCCGATCGAGTGCAACCCGCGCGCACACACTGCTGTCGCGCTGTTCGGGGACACGCCGGAGCTGGTGGGGCAGTATCTTGCCGTGTTAGACGGAGGCGGGGACGGGGCCGGAGATGGGGCGGCGGACCCGGCGGTTGTGACCCCGCAGGAGCCGGGTAAAAAGTACTACTGGATTGGGCACGATTTGGTCACGCTCTTCCTCCTTCCCACCCTGCGTCTGCTGCTGCTCCGCACGTCTTTTAGAGAATACGTGCGCTCGGTTTGGGCGTTTGCGGAGCATGTGCTGTTCTGGAAGGATGGCACTTTTGAGGTGTGGGATCCTCTGCCGGCGTGGTGGTTGTACCACGTCTACTGGCCAATGACGTTCTGGGACTGCTTGGTCAACAGGAGGAGCTGGAGCAGGATGAACGTCAGCACGACCAAGATGTTTGAGTGTGACTGAGCAAATCCGCTGAAAACAACCTCTCGTGTAAGCCTAAGAGCCTTGTTGTAAGTAGATGGTTAGATGACGACAAGTTCAATGTTTTGTGGACCAACCCCCAACCACACGAACTTGCCTCTGAACGCAGCAAGAAAATCACCAACCCACATCTCGAAATTCTGGCAGTATTCCCTCGCCCACGCCTGCACGGTCCCCGATATTGATTTCATAACCTACCTGGCCCTCTCTTCCCGTAGAATAAGCGGAAGCTGACAGTCGGGGACATGTCACCAATGACCGCCTCCGGTCTTTCCTGTACAGCGAGACAACGCTGAGGTGTCCGTGCTTTGTGAGGAAGTCGCCAGTTTCCAATTGTCTAACCGTAGGTGGTTTGTACGGTGAAACAGACTGTCTTTGACCTTGTCCCATTCTTTCTTATAAGGTGCTAAGTTGTAGCAAACTCAGTCACTCGCCAAAGTTCTCTCGTTGCCCCTACTCGCACAGGCTCCACGTCAACGTTGACACCCATGATCATTCTCTAAGATGAGATATTGTCCCATTCTTCTTGAACGATATTGCAAGGCCCCAAAATATCAGGATGTGGCCGACTCCCTTCTTTTCTAGAATGGAATACAAATTTCAAACCAAAGGGCTGCGTCTGCTAACACCGTCCCAATCATCTGGACACTGGTGGTGTTATGCCACCTCTTGTTGCCATACGAGTTGCCCAACTGGGTAATTCTCACCACCCAAACCGAATGCCACGTGGAGAACGTGAGATGGACGAGGATAACAAATAAAGCACTCTGAATGGCGAATGAGAAGCTGATCGGTGAGTTGTTCCTTTCACGTAGACCTGGCGACATCGATACCCAGCTTGCATGTCGGTCACGACCGTGGTGGCTTGATGCGTGGACAGCTCGGAATTCTTGACGACAAATCCCGATGCATCGGAAAGCCTAGCTCGTCAAACAAGGGCGCAAAATTGATTTAAAGTCGACAATCCCACCAGGTTTTGATCTCCTTGTACGCCCTGCAACAGTCCACATACTCGATCTCCCGCACCCAATGGCGGGGCAGTCCGTCGACGTCGAAACCAACAACACCGATTCCGAGCCCCCTTCCGCGCATTCCGAAGGGTCTTCCGAGTCCACGCCAACACCACCTTGACGTCCTCCCGCGCGGCACTTTACCGTCTACCTATGGGAAAGCACATCTGATACCCACCATGTCGAACTTTTGGGGACCGTAAAGACTGGAAAGAGTGGGGTCGTGAGCAGAAGGATGGGAAACATGCAACTTGGCTAATCCCGGCCGTTTGGACTTTTGGAGGGGTAGAGGGGCACGCAACCAGGGGCAGCACAGAGCACAATTGACTTCATCTCATGTGAGCTTTTCTCTCACACTGGGGAAGAAAAAAAGGTGTCATTCACATAAATACCTTCATCCGCAAACTTCAACTTCAACTTCAACTGCGGTGTCCGCGCATTCCGGTCAACCAACTCGCGCAACTCATACACCAGCATCACCAAGAAGGCAAACTCCCCAAAATGGACTCATCTGAATTCCGCTCCGCGGCCCAGGAGGTCGTGGAAGACAGTAAGATCCTCACATACTTACGCCCCTCTCCCATCACCTCAAACACTCAAAACAGCACAACTAACACAGGACCGCAGTCACGAAATACTATGACACAATCACGTCCCAGCCCAAGGTGCTCCCGTCCGTAACGCCGGGCTACCTCCGCCCCCTCCTCCCGGCGTCCGCCCCCGAGGCCCCGGAGCCGTGGTCCGCCATCCACGCCGACCTCCAAGCCCACATCGTGCCGGGCATCACCCACTGGCAGTCCCCCTCCTTCCACGCCTTCTTCCCCTGCTCCTCCTCCTACCCAGCCATGCTCGCGGAGCTCTACTCCAACGCCTTCAACGGCGCCCACTTCAACTGGATCTGCTCCCCGGCCGTCACCGAGCTCGAGACCATCGTCCTCGACTGGCTCGCCCAGCTGCTCGCCCTGCCCCCCGCCTACCTCTCCACCGCGCCCACCCGCGGCGGCGGCGTCCTCCACGGCACCGCCTCCGAGGCCATCCTCACCGTCATGGTCGCCGCTCGCGACAAGTTCCTCCGCCAGGCCACCGCCCACCTGCCCGAGGACTCGGAGGAGAAGGAGGAGGAGACCTGGCGCCTGCGCTCCAAACTCGTCGCCCTCGGCTCCGAGGCCGCCCACTCTTCCACCAAGAAGGCCGCCCAGATCCTCGGCGTCCGCTTCGCCACCGTGCCCGCCCCCGCATCCGCCGGCTACGCCATGTCCGGCCCCGCCCTCCAATCCACCGTCGCCGCCCTCCGCGCAAAGGGCCTCGAGCCCTTCTACCTCACCGCCACCCTCGGCACCACCGACACCTGCGCCATCGACGACTTCCCCGGCATCAGCGAGGCCCTCTCCTCCGACAGCGACAAGATCTGGGTCCACGTCGACGCCGCCTACGCCGGCTCCGCCCTCATCCTGCCCGAGCACCAGCACCTCACCCCACCCCTGGCCTCCTTCCACTCCTTCAACATCAACCCGCACAAGTGGATGCTCACAAACTTTGACTGCTCCGCCCTCTGGGTCCGCGACCGCGCCTGGCTCGTCGAGAGCCTGAGCATCAAGCCCGCCTACCTGCGCAACCAGTTCTCCGAGGCCGGCCTCGTCACCGACTACCGTGACTGGCAGATCCCCCTCGGCCGCCGCTTCCGCTCCCTCAAGCTGTGGTTCGTCCTGCGCGCCTACGGCGCCAGCGGCATCCGCGCCCACCTGACGCGCGGCATCTCCATGGGCGAGCGCTTCGCCGAGATGCTCAAGGCCCGCGCCGACCTGTTCGAGATCGTCACCGGCCCGCGGTTCGCGCTGGTCGTGTTCACATGCGGCAAGCAGGGCGCGAGCACTGAAGAGAGAAACAAGGTCACCGAGGCGGTGCTGGAGGGCATCAACGGCAAGGGCGAGATTTACCTCACGCCCACGGTGCTGCACGGCACGTACGCTATCAGGATGTGCACCGGCAGCAGCCAGGTCATCGAGGAGGAGCATGTGAAGAAGGCGTTTGACATTTTGGTCGCTGCGACCGAGGCTGAGTTGGCAAAATAGATGATAAAATATTTTGGACATGTTTATATTCATAGATATGCTAGACCGTAATGATGCGGTAAAAAAAATCGACACCTTTCTACATCTAGCTTCCAATGCCTCTCTGTTCCTGTCTTTTGTTTCTGTAAATATCCAATTTCGTAATTTAAAAAAATGTGCTATGCTCCGTTGATGCTTCCCGTAATGTATTGGTCGTAATTTCGTGTAATGATATTGTGTGTTGTGACATCTCTGTGTCGAGCGTTTCTCCCGTCGTAATCACCAGTTCGAATAACCTCTCGACCTCGAACCGGGGTTGCTTCTGCTGCGTGTTTGATCATCGTACCGTCTGCCGTACCCATAATCGCGATCAAACTGATCGACCGCTCGCACATACTCCCTCTCATCCCTCATAACATTCAGCCCCTTGATCGACTCGGGCGCTCGGGCCGGTTCACGGCTGTAATCCCTCGCAGCCCGAATGGCCTCCCGCTCTTCATAGTACCGGTCCCAGTACTCGTCCTCGTCTTCGTCGCGGCGACTCCTGTCGTCCCTCCTCTCATCTCGATCATACCTCGAACCCCGCGTGGAGCCTCGAGCGGACTCCCTTGCAGATTCCCTCGCAGACCCAGCGACGCTCTGCGTGGCCCTCCTGGGCCTTGACCTCGACTCCCTGTCTCTCCGCCTCTCCTCGCGACGGCCCTCCTCCTCATGCCTTTCCTCGCACTTCTTCAGCGACTTGTCAATACCAAACATGACCGTGGCTCCAATCATGCCGAGAGCAATCGCCTGGCCCCAGTCGAAGCCAGGGCTCTCCTTTTCCATGGTCTTCCGCATCTTGCGATGCTCCGGGTCGGCGGTCCATGGTCGCGGATCGGGAGGTAGAAGCTTGCCCGGCTTGACCTTGACCATTTTCGTAATATTACTTTTTCAACGGTGTAGAGAAGGTTTTGTTTGATATGGGGTGGGCTTGGGTCGGGTCCGGTTTATGCTCTGCGTCTTAGCAAGACCATCAAGCTCAAACGGCGTCGATATCGGTTGGTTCTTAGTGCAAGAGACAAGTGCAGATCCGCTGTGACGCCGGAGCTGTACCTGTCATATATAAGAATCTGAAGGATTGCAGGTGGCTTGCTTTCGCCCAGGAACGGATCAAGACAAAATATGCAGGAGAAGCAAGTTGGTGTTGTCGATGGATGAAGGGGTGGGTTGCACTTTTGTTGCACTTTGGCCCCAACAACAATCCGAAGAATGAGGACAGCACCGGAAATTTATTTCTCAGTGACAGTTCACCGCTGGCATTCCCCCGCACCCTTAGCTGACATCCAATATGGCGACTGCCGGGGACTCGGGAGCTTCCCCATTGGGCTCCGGGCAGAAGCTTGTCGTCATGTTAGCTGCATGATGTCATGGGGTCGACCCAGAAGAATGCGCTCGCCCGCCCGCCCTTCGAAACCCGCCAAGCCGTTGACGTCAGGGCGTTGCTACATCTGGCCAAAGCTCCCGGGACGGTACCCACACTGCCCCCCGCTGCCTTTGAGCCGCCAGTAGTCTTTGCAGCTGCTTAGCACACAGCTCCAAAGCCAATTGTAAAAGATCATAAGACCAGCTGCTGCTACCAACACCACCGTTGGGCATCGCCTATTGTCTTAGCCACGCGGAACAGGGCAAGGATTCCCCTGATTCTCGATTGGACCCTGAAGCTGCCGGTCTGGCCCGACGACGGCAAATGCGGGAACAAATGAGGCCCTTCCGATGCCAGTCACGTATGTTAGGGCGAGACAATGTTGAGACAATTTCGAAAATGCAGAGGTGGTATCATTTCATGAACTTCGTGTCGGCGTCTAGGGTCTGTTCTGCTGATCTAAATGCTTGCTCTTCGCGGCGCCATCGTCCTCCGCATCGCCTTCTTGGCCTCCGTCTCCTCCATCAGAGGCAGAACGCCGTCTTCTCTAAGCTTCTGCAAAAAGTCTTGTCCGTACTTGTATCCCATCTGGTACAGCTCGTCGAACTTGCCAAAGTCGAGCGTCCCATAGTCATCAATCGGAGGCCGCATGTAAAAGCAGCCAGGCATCGTTTTGGCCCGTTCCAGAGCATCGACGCTAGACACGTAGGCCAGTCTAGCCTGGATCTCGGCCAACGTTGGCGGGTTGGGTGTACCCGAAAACGGGTTCCACCTGTTCCAAAACGCCCACACTCCCGACAGCGAATCACCGTACGCCTGTGGCGTGTCGTCGTCAAGGGCGCCTACGTCCACTGCAAAGATGGTGTCTACCCCCAGCCTCTTCATGTGCGAGACCGTCAGATTGTCAATGTAGCCACCGTCGAGAAGCATGCTCCCCTCGTCACACAGCGGTGGAAGCAGGCCAGCCAATGACATGGACGCACGGACGTACCTCCATGCGTAGCCGCTGGTGTGGTACTCTATTCTGCTCTTGCTAATGTTCGTGGTGTTGCAGTAGTATTCGAGCCAGAAGTCTTCGATCTGGGTCTTGCCGAATGTCTTGAAGATACCACGATTGAACTCGTGTCCTGTCGTGTACGACGCCGTGGGGTATGTCAGATCCAGCGCGAAACGCCACATACTGGCCATGCGGCCCGAGAACTTTTTGGCAAGGCCGAAGATGGGCACAACGTCGGCGTGGCGGGCATATAGGGCGCCGATGAAAGAGCCGATTGACGTGCCGCCGACAACGTCGATGGGAATGCCTGCTTCTTCCATAGCCTGGATGATGCCAATATGCGTGATGCCTCTGGCTCCGCCGCCTCCTAGGACGAGACCAACAGACTTTCCACACAGGCGCCTTGCCAGACGATGGAAGTCGCCCTTGTATGGCGCGTCTGGAGAGTAGAAGGGACTATTGCGGACCTTTCTGGACGTGTACTTTTGAATCTCTGCTTGGATGATCTGGACCCTCTCCTTCAAGGTGGTGCTCGTACGCTTGGAAGGTGGGTGCACCGGCATAATGTTCGCACCCAGTGGCATCTGGACGTGGTAGTGGCCACCATTGATCCACATGCGATTCCTCAACCACGCTCTGGTGAGACCTGAAGGAGAGTAGCGTTCGCCGTGGAGGAGAACGAGAAGCTTTCTCGCGGTGGACTTCATTCCCAACATGAACCGTTCGTACTCCCCGATTTCGGGTGAGCCATCGCCAAGGCCAACCAGTAGAATGCAATCGGCCTGAGTGATGCAGGTCTGGGTCCATGGGGAGTTGACGTTGGTATCTGAACATTGGTTAGCGACGTGTCCAGGTAGTCATCGCAACAAAATGGTAAATAGTGATTGTCCAATCAGGAAAAAATTAGAGTTAATGTTTGGCCTTCAGCGGTCTTGCCTCGGGAAACAGAGTTGTTCATCATAAAGGACGCGGAACGAAATGGGAGAGGGAAAGAAAAATGCCTACCTGCGACATAGACCACCAGGCCATGCTTCTCCTCCAGATCGGCCAGGTACTGAGAGAGCTTGAGTTTGCCCATCTTGTTGAAGGCATGCTTGCCTAGGTGGTTCAAGATAGCAGACTGGTTGAGAGAGGTCGCCCCATTTGCGGGGCCGACCTGAGCCAGAGCATTCATCAATCGGTTGCCGAACTCAACGACGGGGACGCCGTAAGTCACCGGTAAGACAGCAACGGTCCTCAAGTTGAGGGATGAGGAACCTTTGCTGATTGAGTTGACGCCACCTGCCTCCTTAGACAACAGTTGGGAGGGGTCATCAACAAGATTGCGCATGCGCGATGCGATAATCTTCGAGATCTTGATGGTGATGTTGGGATGCTCCTGAGCCAGACTGTTGAAGAGCGTGCGGGGAAACTTGACGAGCTCAGTCTGACGGATGGCATGCAGAGTTCCGGGCCGTACAGACTCTGTGAGGACCTCCAACTCTCCGACACTCTCGCCCTGACCGAACTCTGCCCGAACACTGACACCGCCATCCTTCTTCTCCTGAACAAGCCGAAGTCGTCCGTTGAGAACGATGTGGATGGCCTCGCTCTCGTCTCCCTCGTGGAAGATGACTTGACCGGCATCGACTTGTTCCCAGTCGAGAGCAAAGTCGATGTGCATGATCAGGCGAGGAAGAAGGCTCGTGAGTCGCTTGGCCATCGTAAGCAAAACGATAGGGTAGCGGTCGGCGATTCTCTCAATGGTTGACCGTGGCAGAAAGCCAACGTAGACATCAGTCTTCGCAACAACATCGATGAATGATCGATATGACGACACTGTACCCACGTAACCAGCGAGTCCACCGGGCTTGATCAGGGACACGCTGCGGCGAACAGGTTGCTTCTTCTTCGTGTCTCCAGCCTTTCCTGCCCCGAGCAGGTTGACAGAAGAGTAAGCTGGAGATCCATCCATGGCCAGGTAGTCAGCATGGAGAGAAGTCCTGCTGGATGAATGCAAAATGTCGGCGGACGAGTCTTCATTCGTGGTGCAAATGTCAAGGAATCCGTCAATGACATAGTACAGCCCAGGGTTACGCTCGCCCTGCTCAACCAGAACGGATCCCTTGGGGAAGAAAACGATCTCGACATCGTCCTTCATGTCATTAGCCAGCAGGTGCGCGTTCGGTGGAGTGTTTAAAGTGAACCCCCCGGAAGTCAACGATTCCGTGTCACCGTCTCCAGAGGATTCGAAAGGGCCCATCAGACCAAACGCGTTGTTGCCGAGGCCAACTCTCTGACGACGCTGGTCGTAGGAGAACAGTCTGGGAGATCCTTCGACCGACTCGGCCTCGCGCGAGACACTGCCACCGCTGCCTAAGCCGATCGCCTTGAACATGCACTCCAGTATTGACTGACGGAAAAGGTTGTCCTCGTCAAGTGAGTCGCGACCGTCGATCGAGATCCGCGGATGCTTCTGAGCATGGAACGGGTTGAAAGACCGTTGAGCAAGAGGACTTGTCCCCTCGTGACGAAGAGCGTCAGCAACCTGGTCGATGTCGGCAGTGGTGGAAGTGCCGGGCCTGTGACCACCCGTGCGAGCAAATTGGATGTTTGCCAGCAAATCGCCAGGGCTCGGAGTGTGCGTGGAGGAGCGCTCTCTGGGAGGCGCGATTGTCGTAGCAACTTGGGAGAACGACCTCTCCTTGGTGCTCATGGAATGGATCATTGCATCCTTCCGCAGAGTCGACGTTGACTTACGACGACGATGAGCGTTCGCGTTGTGTAGAGCAATGCCCTTGCTCTCAAGCTCACCACCAACGCGCTCACGCTCACGATTGAACTTTTCTTTCAGGCGCTCAAGCGCATCACCCCGAAGCATGTTGGGCAACTGGCAGGTGGTGAAGGAGAGCATGTTCTTCTCCGTCTGGAGCACCTCCCCGGTGAGTCCGAGATAGTTGTACGCAGTCGCGAGTGTTACTCTCTGAAAACGAGAAAGGATGACCTGGACGATGTGGGAAGTCGCCTTAGGGTAGACCTTGGTCAAGCGTCGGAAAGCGCTGGCCGGGATAATTGCAATGGTCGTGTCGACAGTCGCCCTCGCAATGATATCTGGATGGGCCGAGCCAGAAGTTGCGCGGCTCTGGAGCGGTGGGCGTTTTGGTGCACGCGCGCTGCCAGGAGCGCTACCGCTGCTTGGGTTGTCGAGAGAAATGGGAGGGATTCTCGCGCTGGCTGGCGTCGGGGTGACAGATCGCTTCGGCGGCTCCTCAATCCTCACGCCAGGCTTCTCATCGGCGGATTCCGCGAATTGAGGTGTCATCTGATACGGGCTTGCAGGGTCAGATGGCATACGCCGGAAACCAGCGTTGCGTGGAAACGGAGAAGTTCTCAGTCCAGCGCTCCCAGCACTAGGCTCAGGAGTATCGTCTTCCGTTGTTCGAAGCTTGACATCCTCAGTGAACAGAGACATAATGGAGAACAAGGACGACATGGGAGCGCCGTTGCGGACTTCAGTGAGCAGCTGGTATCGCTGATGTCCTGCAGGAGAGATGTCTTCCTCAGCAGGATAGCCAGACTCGAAGCTCTCGCAAGGATCAGGCTCCATGGTTCTGGCATTTCGGCCAGATTTGACAAAAATCTCCACGAGCCCGTCGACGACGATGCAAAAGCCCTTCTCGTCTTCCAGGTTGAAGGTCTCGCCGGCAATGAGCTTGCGAGTCTGCATGCTGCGGGTCAACTCATGGAAGACCTGTCGCTCCAAGTACCCGAAGATTTTGATAGCGCTCAAGAACTCATCCAGATAGCTGGATAAGCCGGCCTTTTTGCCCTCTTCGTGGGTGTCGGGGAATAGGTCAACGTCTGGCTCCTTCCTCTGAGGCTCCGGGGGAAGCCGAGAGTACATGTTCAGGATGCGATAGCGCACTACCCAACTGACTGCGGATATGATGGCGACCATGATAACCATTCTGCGGGGAGTCAGCAACAGGCTCCCATATAGCAAGGCAAGCAGGACGCGTACAATGTGGTGGCGTTCATCGTCACGGTCCAACTCGTCGAGAACAAAGTAAAGAGCAGAGTAGGTATCGTGATGGTCACGATGCGAATAGCCCAATACAGGATCGAGGAGATCAAGGACAGAATGGCGAGGATCAACCGCCCCAGGAGCCCCAACCAGCTGGACGATCCCTGGGCGGCGACGACCTCCTGCGCGCGCGTGAAGGCGGACGGGAGCACCTCCGGAGAGGTGCTCATTGTGGCCGACACGGCGTCAGAGATGGCGCTCGATATGTCGGCGGACGACATGACTGCTGCTGCGATTGGTGACTGCGGCTGCGGTTTTGCGACGAAACAACGACAAGAGGATGTTGTTGTTCAGCATAGCGCGCGCGAGAAAAGACCAGATCACATGGTTGAGCGCGTCCCTCGGGGCTAGCAGAGCCGGGCCGCGTGGGCAAGGGAGGCGAATGATTTTTAAGGGCCGGTTGTTGGTGGCTGAGACGAGACTCGAGCCAAAGAGGTGGTTGGAGAAAAAGTAGATGAGGGAAGAAAAAAAGCAGCTTATGGGGTGGGAGCTTTGAAGATGGAAGCTTGGAAAGCTGGGTCGGGTACGGGCGGTCAGGCGAATTGTGCCGCCCCACGCCCGCTGGAAGCTCAGCGCGGTTGGTGGTGCAGCATGTGACGCTAGGCCTCCCGGGAATGGACGGGCGTCAGTGTAGTGGAGTTGCCTGGCAGCTGCAGAACGCTGTGGATGTGCTGTGTAATGCTGCATGGAGGGGCACTGGTGGTAAGGCAGATAGCCTGAGAAACTTCACCCTCGAAAGAATTCGAGATCCCGTCCGGTGTGGCAGGCAATCTTCAACACTGCAAATTCCTCACAACAAACACCTTCTCCTGGCACGAATTCAAGGAACTCAGCCTCAGAATCAACCAGGATGCCTTTTGCGCAGCTCGTCCTTGGCAGTCCGGGCTCTGGAAAGAGTACCTACTGCGATGGCAGTAAGCTCCCCGACCCGACGATGCGTCCTCGACAGTCTCAAGAGCTAACACGCCACGTCAAGTGCACCAGTTCATGGGCGCCATAGGTCGCGCCTGCTCCGTCGTGAATCTTGATCCCGCAAACGACCACACAAACTACCCGAAAGCCCTCGACATTCGCGACCTCGTCAAGCTCGAGGATATCATGGCCGGTGACAGGCTAGGACCAAACGGCGGCATTCTGTACGCTTTGGAGGAGTTGGAGCACAACTTTGAATGGCTTGAAGAGGGACTCAAAGAGATTGGCGACGACGAATACTTTCTGTTTGACTGCCCAGGGCAAGTTGAGCTTTACACCCATCACAACTCGCTACGGAACATCTTCTTCAAGCTACAGAAGCTTGGGTTCAGGGTTGGTCCTCCTGGCTCTTCATCATAGAACCAACTCCCGCTAACTCCTTAATAGCTCGTCGTCGTGCACCTGTCCGACTCCTTCTGCCTAACGCAACCCTCACTCTACATCTCCAACCTTCTCCTCTCCCTCCGCGCCATGCTCCAGATGGACATGCCACACATCAATGTCCTTACCAAAATCGACAAGGTCGCTTCGTACGACTCTCTGCCTTTCAATCTCGATTACTACACCGATGTTGACGATCTTTCATATCTCATCCCCTACTTGGAGGAAGAGTCTCCCGTGATGCGCAACGAGAAGTTCGGCAGGCTGAACGAGGCGGTCGCAAACATGATTGAGAGTTACGGATTGGTCCGGTTCGAGGTGCTAGCGGTCGAAGACAAGAAGAGCATGATGCATCTGCTCAGGGTAATTGATAGAGCTGGAGGATACATCTTCGGCAGCGCAGAGGGCGCGAACGACACCGTGTGGCAGGTCGCCATGCGTAACGAGTCGTCCATGTTGGAGGTTCATGATATCCAGGAGCGTTGGGTCGACCGCAAGGCCGAGTATGACGAGCTCGAGAGGAAAGAGTGGGAGGAGCAGGCGAAGATGCAAGAGGAGGACCCCAGTGGCGGTCAGGCGGATCAGGCGATGGCAGACTCTGATCCGGACTTTGGCGACATGACAGTGCCGGCAGACAGCGGCGTAAAAGTAGTGCGCAAAAACAAATGATACCCTTCAGCCGTCTTCTTCATCCATTCCCTCTGCTTCTGAGACATCTGATGCGTCGACCATGATGGCGTCGCCGGCTTGTGCCTTGCTTTGAGCGAACATTGGCACGGTGCCGCTGGCTGCTGCTGCGACGGAGTCTTTGGCGGCGAGTACGAGTTGTCTTGCCTGTTTGATGGCTTCCTCCTCAGCCTTACGAATAGTGCCACTCACTCGGACTACTTTGAACAAGCAGCGTTTTCCGTCTCCGTGCTTAAGCGGGACGCGGTCCATGAAGGTAAGTGCGGCCCACACAAGACGGTAGTGCTCTCTCTTGATTTTGAGGATGAAAGTTGAAGTTGCTTGAGAGAGATATTTGACTAGGCTCGATTAGCGGGCGTCCGTGACAATGGTCTTTCTTTACTGACTTGATAGGTTTCCTTCAATGGCACCAGAGCCGTAATCGCCAAACAGCGTAGCAACTTCAGCTCGGAGCGCCTTCAGCAGTGACTGGGGAGTAAGCTGCCCCGTCGTGGGCTGATGCATGACTACGACATCCGGAACATTGGTCGCCTGTTGCTTTGACGCGTCAGGTGGGTAAAGAATGTTGACGAGGATATACCTCTCTTTGATTCGGACCATTTTGCTGTGCCGTTGCGCGCTCTTGGGGAAGTGAGTGACTGCTTGTCGAAGTCGATACTGAAAAAGTTCATGTCGCGGTACGTACTCGAGTCAAAGCTGGAAGTGCAGGAGAGGACATCGAGGAACAGCGGCTCGAAGTGGGGTCCATTGTCCATGCGGGAGGTCGCTGACTAAGGCGGGGGAGCTTCCCTCGAGCTCCGGTCCTCTGGAAGCTCCCGACGTCACCAGGCATGTTGTCAAGCTATTTGATGATTTGGGCGATTATTAGAGATTTCTCGGCTTGACAGGAAATACCGGAGTTTTTTCTCTCTACATTGGTGTTCTGGACACCATTATCTGTGACCAGGTCTCAGATCCGCCTCGTTCACCATGGATACCCCTCTGAAAGTGGCCATCTTGATCGTCTCGACGACCGCATCCAAGGATCCCTCGACGGATAAGTCAGAGCTCGTCTTGAAAGATGTTATAGAACAGGAGGGCGGTGGGAAATGGGTGGTCACCGACAGCAAAATCGTCCCGGATCTTGTTCCCCAGATTCAACGCCAGATCATGTTGTGGGCAGATGTTGGGCTTGAAGACGGTGCCAACCTGATTCTCACCACAGGAGGCACTGGATTTGCGGTATCGGATAGCACCCCCGAGGTATTTAATCTAACTCACTCCCCAGAATAACTATGCTAAAGTACGGTACAGGCTGTCAGTGCTCTCATTCACAGGCCAGCTCCCGGTCTGGTTCATGGAATGATTGCTGCGTCCTTGGCAGTGACCCCGTGTAAGTCACTATATCTTAGCAAGGGCTTAAATCACTAATGATTCCAGTTGCCATGATGTCCAGGCCCGTGGCAGGAGTCAGAAACAAGACTGTCATCATCACCCTCCCTGGATCCCCGAAGGGTGCCAAGGAAAACCTTCAGGCCGTTCTTAAGACGCTTCCCCATGCCTGTGTGCAAGCCGCCGGAGCTGATTCCAGAATCTTGCATCAAGGTGGTGTCAAGAAGCTCGAGGCAGAAGCCGGAATCGGCTCCCAAGATGCGGCGGCGCCAAAGGTCCAAAAAGATCACTCACATTCACACTCACATACCCACGACCATGGCCACAGCCACGGCCATAGCCACGGCCATGATCACAAACACGGCCATTCCCATGGTCATGGACACGGGAGCCTGGTCAGGCATACCAAACCAGGTGACAACCCACTGTCCAACGATCCAAGTCTTGGCCCGTCCCGGAGATACAGAGAATCGCCTTATCCAATGCTTGAAGTTGATGATGCCCTCCGCCTCATTCAAGACTTCACGCCTGAGGCGGAGATCGTCACATCACTCGTCGACGTCAATATCGTCAACTCAGTCCTGGCAGAGGATGTCACGGCTAGAGAGAACGTGCCTGCCTTCCGTGCAAGCATCGTAGATGGCTACGCCGTGGTTGTTCCCAAAGACGGCAATATGAAGGGCGTGTTCCCCGTCACATCAGTATCCCACGCGGCTCCCGGGGAAGCAAAGACACTGAAAGAGGGCGAGATTGCCAGAATCACCACAGGAGCGCCGCTGCCCCCTGGAGCTACCTCAGTGATCATGGTCGAGGACACCATCCTCAAGTCCAAGACCTCTGACGACAAGGAAGAGAAGGAGGTCGAGATCCTGGCGGAGGGCGTCAAGCCCGGCGAGAACATCCGGGAAATCGGCAGCGACGTCAAGGAAGGCGACCTCATCCTGAAGAAGGGCGAGCAAATCTCCGGCGTCGGCGGCGAGATCGGTCTACTGGCATCTGTCGGCGTCGCCGAGGCGAAGACCTACAAACGACCCGTCGTTGGCATCCTCTCCACCGGCGATGAGATCATCGAGCCCGACCGCCCGGGTGGCCTTCGCCTAGGTGAGGTCAGAGACACCAACCGCATCACCCTCATGTCCGCAGCACGGCAGTGGGGCTTCGATGTCGTCGATCTGGGCATCGCACGCGACAAGCCGGGATCCCTGGAGGAAAACCTACGTGAAGGCCTCCGCAGGTTCGACTTACTGATCACCACAGGCGGTGTCTCGATGGGCGAGCTAGATCTCTTGAAGCCGACCATCGAGCGCTCTCTTGGGGGAACCATTCATTTCGGTCGCGTCGCCATGAAACCCGGTAAGCCGACTACCTTCGCCACAGTTCCGGTCAAGAACAACGCCGGAGAGCGTGTCACCAAGACCATCTTCTCCCTGCCTGGCAACCCTGCCTCGGCACTGGTGACGTTCCACCTCTTCGTCATACCGGCTCTGCACAAGCTCTCCGGTATTGTGCCCACTGGTCTGCCCAAGGTCCCGGTGACGCTTTCTCATGACTTCACTCTGGATAAGCAGCGAGCAGAGTACCATCGGGCTGTTGTAACGGTCGGCAAGGATGGACTTCTATCGGCAAGTAGCACCGGTGGTCAGAGGAGCTCTAAAGTTGGAAGTCTGCGGTCTGCAAATGCCTTGCTCGCCTTGCCGAAGGGAACAGAGCTGAAGAAGGGCACCAAGGTGGGGGCTCTTTTGATGGGCGAAATTCGCGTGGAGTTGTGAGCACATCGCTATGCTTTCATGTGCAGTACACGATAAGGTAATGCAGCGACTTGATTTGACTTCCATAATCATCCTTAAAAAATACCACGCTCGCGCAGAAATCACTTCGATGAGGAGCTATAATACGTTGGTAGTATACAATACAAGATGTTCCTCGCCCTGCCTTTATGCCATTAACGCCAGCCCAAGTAGCCTTGGTGTAATGCAGTGCTCCACTGTACATCATTCAAGTTCGACGTTCATAATGCCGTCTGTGGTAGTCTCCCCTTATTTTACTTCCGTGCCGTTTGGAACATCCCTTACTCCGACTTGAATCCGTTCGTCTTGCCAGCCACCAGGAGGCCGACGATGAGACCGAAAAGACCGAGGACGGAGGAGAAAATCTCGACGACGAGGATCTTGACGAAGCTATGACACGGCGCGTTAGCAAGACTTGATTTCATTTGATGATGGAGGCTAAAGACGTACAGCGTAGGGTCCGCGGCATCAGCCAGCGCGGCTCCACTACCGTTGATGCCGACAGCGACACCGCAGATCAGGTTGCACATTCCGACGGTGATGCCGGACCAGAAGAGGGCGTATCCGGTGTAGTAGCTGTTGGCGTCGTGCAGGGTCTTGCCCTCGGCCGGCTCGAGCTGGGCCGAGAAGACGATGGCCATGATGACGCCGTAAATGGCGACGACTTCGCAGAAGATGATGGAGATCAAGTTCTTGGTTCTAACGCGCGGCGCCTTGACGCCCGCGCCGAGAATGGAGGAGCCGGTGATGAAAATACCCCTAGATATCAAAACCTGTTAGACACCGTGACCCCGCCTAGATGCGATGCGATGCTTCGCGAAAGCGTGTTGTTGTTCGTACCATGCTGCGCCGACGACGGAAAGACCAATGCACATGCCGATGCCCATGTCGGCCCATGTGTAAGGTGAGATCGATTCGAGGAATTCGCCAACGTTGAAGGCCTCTCCCGAACCGGTGAAGAGCATGTCTGTTGGGGAAACATTATGTTAGCTTCGCTTGATTGACTGTCGCGGGCCATCGTGTCGAAGGGGCATCATCGGGATCGGGGGTTCGTACAAGCTCCCACCACGGTAAGGGCGCCTCCAATGCCTCCCAGGCCATATGTGAGACTCATCGTGCTCGTTTCGGCGTTTGTGTCGTTCCCCGGGGGTCGGTCGTGGATGTTGGATTTGACGGCGGATGTCTGGGGGGTTGCAGCTACGTCGAGCTCTCGAGGCCAAGCAGTGAGGTAACTGAGGTAAGGCAAGGTAAGAGCCGACGAACCAGATTCGGTAAGGTCACATGACGCGTCTGTTGGACGCCGTTGCTCATTGGAAGTGTGCTTAGGTAATGCACCTCCCCTAGCTGCAGCCACTGGCTGGAAGTTGACGGCAACCTGGAACAGCAGGCAGCTGCACCGAGTACGTACCCACTTTCCAAAGCGTTAGTCAGCCGGATCCAAGGACATCCTCAAACAAGGCCACTATAAATATAACCTCGCCTCTTTCACACTCGCAACCACCCAGACCGCCGCCCGCCCCCAGGAGATCAGGAACCAAATCTCCACGATGGCAGCCGCACCTCAATCTTTCTACGAGCTTTACCGCCGTAGCAGGTACATGCGCCATCCATAAGTCTAGTAATACTAGCTGTTCCAATGCTACAAAGACTAACCCGTGTACCTCCTTCCTTAGCATCGGCCTTGCGCTGACGGACATGCTCGATGATCTGATCAGTGAAGAGCGCATTCACCCGCAGCTCGCGATGAAGATCCTCGCCAACTTTGATCAGGCGATCACCGAGGCTCTTCAGAAGAGCGTGAAGGCGCGCCTCACCTTCAAGGTACGCACCACCAACGCCTTCCTCGGCAGCTCTCCCCATAGACTGCGAATATTCCCAAGCAACATCATTGATACATACAGAGTGACTGCGCGACTGCTTTACAACAGATCAAATCACTGACACTCGCACACCACAGGGCTCCCTCAGCACCTACCGTTTCTGCGACGAAGTGTGGACCTTTCTTATCAAGAATGTCCAGTTCAAGCTCGATAGTGGCGGCCAGATGGTGTCTGCGGACAAGGTCAAGATCGTCAGCTGCAACTCGAAGAAGCCAGGAGAAGGCCCTTAGGAGACGACAAAATGAGCGCATTTCGAGTGTATACGAACGAAGACGTACGCATTGCTTGGGGAATGGACAGCGCCCAAGGAGGCCTGCATACAACGGCGTTTAGGTATTACATGGTTCCATTGATTCTTTTCACTAAACGAGGGATGGCAAACGGAACGGGGGACGAGGGCGTTCACCCAAATTGCGAACATTTGATACCACCCAAGGTTTTGCGCGCACCATCATAGACTTTTGATAAGCTCGGCTTGCCAATAGATTGGATGCCTACACTATGATACTCGTACTTTGTTCTTCGGGTTGGTTGTGTTATTCTCGTCATAAATTGCATTGATTCCTTACAATCTTCCCAATGGCTAAGGGGGATCATCAAGTCTTTGTGCGTCGAGTGCAGTCGAAATGTTATCGAAGTGTCTGAACAGGTGAACTTGTGCCACTGTCACCTGTAATTACCACAAAAAGTGAAATGATACGACGAAGATTGGAAGACCGGGGACAGAAATGCATTGAAAGTTACGCTACGGCACCATACGTCATGCCCGTCCCCACAACTCAATTGGCACAACTTCCGCCGAAGTTTAGCTGCCATTCTGCAATCTTGATCCTCCAACTGCTAATTCCTAAGTAATAAGGCAAGATCGCATCAAGATCACACATCAGAGTCGCATGCCAGCTTCCTGTCTCCCTGACGGACAATGCTGCGTCTCCAGCCATCTGAAAGAGGGGAGGCCGATGCCGGGTACCTGCAGAGCCGGGGCTAGCCACAACTGCCCCATCCGCCGGAAACAGGAAAGGCGTCCGAGTTGTTACATGGTTATCAATGAGTGGGAACTGAGGTGCATCAAAAGGCACCACACACCAAAAGAGAATGCCCCGATTGTTACCTAGCGCCAAGGGTCTCTGTCTCAACTGTCTGGGGTTTTATTCCATCAACACCAACGTCTCGACATCTCTGCACATCTTAACTGATAAAAACCTTTTGGCACTCGTCGTCGAACCCAACTTACTTACTGAGGCGCGGTTCACTTTCGATCAATTTCTACAGAATTACCGACGGTAAACTTTCAGACAGGTCTCATTTCAACAATGCTTGAAGTCTGGCTCTGCTGGTGTGAACCTGGCCAGGACAGTGTTACATTAAGACACCGCTGACCAATTTTCCTACCCAGGCGAATGACTACTTATATTGGGCCTACAGGCTATTAGTGAATTTCATTTAAATAAGAGACCGCCTAATTTTCCTGTGTCTGCGCGGCCAAATTTCCTGTGTATCTAAGTACTCCTGTCGGAGACGATAATAGTGACGACGACGACGACGACGACGATAGAACAGACAATTATTGAAGTGACGACGGTAAGGTAGAGTATAGTCAGAGGATAATCAGTCGGTATACCACAGGAGAAATAGGTGGTCTCTTAAATAGTGTTACTATTACTGTCGTCCCTACTGTCCCTATCATCCCCGTCGTCTCTATCCCGATCCCTCTCCCTATCCCGATCCCCCCCTGTGGCTATCGTCGTCGTCTATGCCCACTAGCCGCCCGGATAGCAAGACGCCCGTTAATATACCCAGAATCATACAATCAGTCCAGCTAGGCAGGCCAGTCTGGTGCGTTGCGCGGATGACCCGTTGCCCTAGTCATCTGCAACGACCATGGTTGGGATTGTGCTTTCAGGAGAGTCCCTCAATTCTGTCGTCGTTGATGACAAAACTGTATCAGTCGCCTCCTCATTCTGTACCATGCCAGTCAAGGTACGACTAGATGATTCTGAAGCAGAAGACTGAATAGATGGCGTGATTGACGCCGTCTGTAGCCGGTCACTTGTCTCAGCCGATGAGAGAGTCGTGACGTGGAATGTAGCGTTGGCTCTGAGCGTGGAGTTCGTGGGTACCTTGAACGACTTGCCCGACAGGACGGGAGGCCTTTCGAGAACACCACTTATATTAGCAAGCTGAAAGCGAAAGATTCCGAATTCTTGAGGTACTACTCACCCTACGCAGATGAAGCCAGATATGGTTTTGTTGAAGCCATCGCACTGGATGTATATCTTCGGATTCCACTCGGACAGGTTGTCTATGCTGACGCCATACTTAGCCGTGACAGAGTCACACGAATCATCCGGAGTTACCAGATGCAGATTGCACTGAGCCGGCAAGCACAGGTCTTGACCTACTTGGATTCCGCCGCACCAGTTGTCGAGGTGGTCGTTGGCTTCCAAGAGTTCTCTGCTCGGAACGCTGTGCGCCTCTGCGATGCTATCGCAAGTGTCGCCATCCTGGACGTGATAGGTCGCGGCGCATTCTGAGGACATGCGCTGTGCAGACCAGCTTTGTGCCACCGCCGTTGGTGACACAACTTCAGAAGAAGGGGCTGCTGGACTGAGGATGTACGGTGATGGGCTGGTGTAAGAATAGCCGGTCACGCCGCAGCTGGAGACGACCAACTCAAATTCGGCGGCGCGCGATTCACTGTGACCAATGGGCGAGTTAACCTCGATTTGCATGGGTCCGAGAACGCAGTCGTCGCATTCGCGAGGAGCTTCGTCAGTCTCATTACGCCACTCGCCTAGGATATAGTCATACGAGCTTCCCGTTTCCCTGCCGTACGTTAGACCTAGGTCATTGAACCAAAGCAGTTGATTCTACTTCCCTATGCTTGTAGCATGATATCTCATAAACATAGATATAACGATCCACGATGTACGTAGCTGAGATTTATATAAGCAACATGCGCAACCAAGAAAAACATTACAAATTGTTCAGACCTGGGTAGAGCGCCAGGTCATGATCAAAGACGTCTGTCGCTGGGTCGCAGTCGTTTTGAATCTTGGTGCGCAAATCTATCAAAGATTCCTTGCAGCTTGCCGTGCAGATCGCTTCGATGCCGTCCGCATCGAGGACGTCGACTCTGGGAGATCTATACAGAATGATCAGCATACAAAAACAATCATGGATAGGCCGTTTAAGCATACTCAGACTTAATGTGGCTAGCCAGTCGATGAGAGCAGCTCAAAGTGGTGTTCAGTGCCTCAAAGCAGCGCTGAGAAAGCCCGAAAGACTCGTAAGAAGTCGCTCGAAGTGGGAATTGTTGGGCTAGGGCGGGTGACAGCCAAGCCAGGCCGCCTACGCAAGCAAATATCTTCAACATTGTTCTCAATCGTAGCAGAGAAATACGAGAGAGTATGGAAGATTTGTTTCGACTCAAAGAGAGGTTGAAGGGGAGATTTCGGATGTTGTGAACAGTGACTGGGTAGAAGAAACAAGAACATCAGGATATCATGGCTCGGGGGGCTTGTCTCCTTTGCGAGTGAATGTCATCTACTTGACAAAACTGTCTTCCCCTTTCATCCAATACTTCACACCCGACGATTGATTCCGGGTACGCACCACGATGAAGTGTGGGCACAAATGTCACATCCGACCTGGCTGCGCGTGACTCGTCAAAATGTTGCGGACGGCATGCTGCCAAGTCGCCGAACTCAGGCCTGGAATATTTTGAGATCGTCAAATGCAGTCTGTTGGCGCTAGTGTTGGTGAAGAACTGCTGCGCCGCTCGTATTTACTTGCATATGCAAATCTGTCTATGGCAGTCTTCCGCGAGTGTGAAATCAAACTCCATCAACAACCCATGGCTCTGCGTCGTGGCGAGCCAGGCACCGGCCTGGCCCGGACGGCGTGGCGTCTTCGCGGAGAAACGATGTCCGCCTGCGGCACAAAGCCTACTCTCGCCTCGCACATGACAACCGTCTCTCGATTAGCGTAGTTGTCTTGAGGGTACCATGGTCTATACTCGAAGATTCTGTCACAGCAATACTGGCCCATGGATAGATCAACCAGACAGATCCTTCAAACAGTGATTAAGAAAGATACACCCAAGGAATTGTGGTGCGTTGAGGTTATCCGACCAAGTTAAAACATCGAAAGCGTGTTGGAAGTCCATGCGGATCCAGGGCTCATGTTCGCCCGGTCAAGGCAGGGATACTTGATGAAGAATATGAAGGAGAGAACCAAGAGATACTGATGTGGTAAAGTTAGGCAGAAGGGTGGATAGGATATGAAAATGAATATGAGTCTCGACATCTGCCGGCTTTTGATGAGTAGACTATGTCTTGCTTGTTGTATTACTGAAGTCACTGCTTTCTCTTGAGTTCTCTTCTGTCTCTGTTCCAACTGGCCGCAATGAGACTACTACTTTTCTTTCTTACGTCCTTGTCATGGGTGAATGAAGTCTTAGGACGGGCTGTGTTTGCTCACTTCATGGTAAGTAAAGCCCTGACTCATTTGCAGAAGTTGTTAACCTCACTGAGAAGCTAACAAATCTGTTTCTTACAGGTTGGCAATACGGAACACTACACGGCATCTGATTGGGTCGATGACATCAAACTGGCTCAAGAGGCTCATATCGACGCCTTTGCCCTGAATATGGCCAAGGGAGAGCCTATGAACACCAAGGCCATAGCCGATGCTTTCTCAAATGCGGAGGCTCTAGGATTCAAGCTGTTCTTCTCTTTCGATTATGCCGGCCGGGGTCCCTTTTCTAAGGACGAAGTGATCTCCTGGATTAATAAGTACGCTCCTAGTAGTGCCTACTTTAGACACCAAGGAAAGCCTTTCGTCTCGACATTCGAAGGACCCGACCAAGCTGAGGATTGGGTCGATATCAAAGCTACTACTGGATGCTTCTTTGTGCCTGACTGGTCCTCTTTGGGGGCCGGTCCTGCTGTTGAGAAAGCAGGTGGTGTTGTTGATGGGCTCTTCAGTTGGGCTGGCTGGCCATGGGGCGATCAGGACATGGACACTTACGTCGATGCCTCCTATAGGAGAGCTTTGGACGGCAAAGCCTACATGATGCCTGTCTCCCCATGGTTCTACACCAATCTCCCTGGGTATAGCAAAAATTGGCTGTGGCGCGGGGATCATCTTTGGTTCGATCGGTGGATCCAAGTCAATACTTTGATGCCCGAGTTCGTTCAGATCATTTCGTGGAACGACTACGGCGAGAGCCATCACATTGGGCCGATCCGAGATCACGCCCTTGTGGCTTTCGATACTGGGAAAGCACCTTACCGATACTCCCTCGACCACCATGGCTGGCGGGTGCTTCTCCCGTTCGCTATAGATCGATACAAGAACAATAAGGCAACAATCACTTCTGAGGGCGTCTCATTCTGGTATCGTACGACCCCAAAAGATGCTTACGGCACGGGGGGTACCACGGGCAACACAGTCTCACAGCTCCAGATGGAGTTTCAGCCCAATGACATTATCCAAGACTCGGTCTTCTTCACCGTTCTTTCGACTGATACCGTTTCTGTCACCGTCTCTATTGGGAGCATGTCCTCCAAGGGAATCTTGAGAGATTTGCCTGATGGTGGGGCCGGCCTCTATCATGGCAGCGCACCATTCAATGGGCGCACAGGAGACGTACGGATCACCGTCACGCGAAAGAGTGTGACCATCGCCGACGAGACTGGCCCCGCGATCAAGAACGACTGTCACAACAGCATAACAGGATTCGACGCCTGGGCTGGTGGCGGCCTTACCTCGAGAGCCCCTAGTGCCGTCGACACGCCTTCTTTGGAGAACGAAGTGTGTATTCGCGGCACTGGCGCGAACGACTTCGATGTCTTGTGTCGGACCACATGCTACTGGGGCTACTGTCCTGAGAGTGCTTGTGTTTGCAGAGCCACGGGCGCTCAGATTAAGCTGCCTCCAGAGACTCCCGGAGAGGTCCACCCGGCCGAGGGGTTGAACTCGAATTACATCGGTCTTTGCAACTATGCTTGCCTCTACGGAGCCTGCTTCTCAACCTACTGCGGCAAGGATGAGTACCCCCTGATCGAACCGACTGTATCTCCTTTCAACCCCCCATCCTGTACCTCGGGGACTGGTGACGGGGACTGGGCGGCGCTTTGTAGCTTCACCTGCCGCCATGGCTTTTGCCCCATTGCTAGGTGCAAGTGTACAGGGCAAGGTTCTCTCAACCTGATGAACCCGTCTCAGGCGACTAAAGCTATAAGCCGAATCGGTGAAGACCACGGCCTTTGCGCGTTCGCCTGCGCCAGAGGTCTCTGTCCTAAGGATACCTGTGACTCAAGTGGTGGCGACTCACAAGAGCAGACTGACCCTCCAGTGAACCAGGTTGAAATGCCTCACCTGGACCGGGACTGCTACAGATTCACCGAGTGCGTAGATCTGGACAATACCCAAGCATCTAGCTGTCGCGATGGCTACACACGCATGTCGTTTGATCGGGCTAGCTGCTCGGGTAATTCGGTAGGTTGGCCGGCCATACACATATTCCTAGCTAATTTGTCCTTCACAGGGGCTCCCTATTTGTTGTAAGAACAGCGCTCTTCCTATGGAGTGTACGTGGAGGGGAAGCGGCGGAGATTGCAACGGCCAGTGCCACAAGGGAGAGGTCACCCTTTTCGAGTCGGCGAAAGGAGGTGACCCTGGAGAGAGTGGCGATAGCAAATGCAGTCGTGGACACAAGGTCTTCTGCTGTGGACTTAGGACTTTCAGCGCCATGACCAGCCAATGTCGTTGGACAGAATGGTGAGTTTTCCATATTTCCTTCACGACCCGAGGGACTGCGCTCTTGTCCGTCTTATGTAGCGAGTGTGGTTGGAAACCATTTGATGTCACAGATGAGAACGTCCGATGTCGAAACCAGATCTTAACTTGACGCTGACATCTCAATAGCTCTGAGAAGTGTGCGGGAGATGAAACACAAGTAGCCCAGGCTTCGGAGCTAGAGGGCAAGTGTGGTCTGGGAACTTTGACTAATAGGTATTGTTGCAAGAACAATCCTCCTCCCTTTTCCAACTGCCATTGGGTTGGACAAGGTGACTGCGCAGACAACACCTGCAACAACAAGGAAGTCACCCTGATATTGGATCAGGGTGGCGGAGACGGCAACCTTTGCTCCTGTGAGTGTGCGGTCCAAAAACTGCTGTGTACCGAAGCTGACAATAAACGAGGGTGGAGGAAGAAGTCGCTCTGTTGCACACCGGAGGAGGCCGTATTTGGTAATGGAGTATGCCCCAACCCGTATTGCACTATACTCATCGGCGACTGTGCTCTGGATGAGTGGGCCGAGGATGATGATACCGACGAAGACACGTGCGGTGATCACGATGAACTTCGCCGAGACGAAGGAGCCTTGGCTGAGTATGATGCCTTGTCTCTTCTAACGCTCGAAGACGGATCCCTTCTCGAAAAGAGAGCGAAACGGAGAAGAACCTACCAAGCGGTTATCGAAGATATCATTCAAAATCTCATTGAGATCATCATCATAGCCAGGGCATATCCTGGGTCGGGCACACTCCATTCGAACACACGAGGCGACCCGGCGTCAGACGACATATTTGAGTAAGTGAACTTTCCGATTGGTCCATATTTGATTTCACAGGTCTTGTATTTTTGTTCTGATCTGATGGTCTACTCGGGTCTTTGGCATCGTTCTTGACTTTGCCTGCAACATCAATAGACATCAAAGCATGGCGCCATCAGAATGATTCAGATGCACTTTGGCACTATGAGCAAAACTGACATACGTAACTTCACAGGTTGGCACCTGGGTGTGGAAATGTGGATGTTATAGTAAAGGACCGAAAGACTTTCACAAAAAAAACAGATTTCGGCAGCATATGACACTGAACATAATCCCGATGTAAGTTGCTTCAATCTCGCAATGCTCTTTGTCAAAGAAAGTTGCTGACAGATGTTCCAGCTGCAATTCATGGCGGACTTTCTGCACACACTGGGCACTGGTGAGCTCCCAGACCTCTCGAGGACAGTCAACGGCTTCATCGACCCCAACGATATCGAGTATTGGTGGGACGCGCCGTTCCCTTTCGGAACTTTCCCTACTCAGGGTACTAGTAGATGCATAAACTCTATCAACGACTTCATCATGGACTTTTTCGGCTCGCAAGGGAACAGGAAGCCTCTACTCCTCTGCGAACGCCGACTGAACCAGATGAAAGGCAGAATCTTCAATAGAGAAATGAGGCCGGTCAACGACGTTGTAATGGCAGGACTGCGAGATGATGCGTTGAGTGGGGATACGCAGGCGGAAGAGACGATGTTCGACAACATTGCGAGAGTAAGTCAAATCGCGCCCAAGGCCCCCCAAACAAGTTTGGAGTGTGACACTAACGGTTACTTTCCCATTCAAGGCGATTGGAGTATGGAACTATTTGAACCATCCTGATGCGCTCCCAACTGTCAGCACCAACCGTAACAACTTGATCGACGGAAGCGGTCTCATCGGGCGACTCGTCCCAGCTTTTGCCAGAATGCGTGATATTCTCATGGAGTTTGACGAAAACTGGTACAACGATGCGGCAGAAAGAACTAGGGGCTGGGTGGACGAAATGCTGGACCTCATATTGCAAGACCTTGACGCTCTAAGTCAAGCCGGGAGAGCGCCTCCGAATGAGTTTTCTATCAGGGCTAGAGTGGCGCGCTTGCTGAACCGGAGAGGCGATATCAAGCCGCCGAAAAGGTGAAGTAATATTGCACGGCATTGAAAGAGCTTCACCCTCCTTCCCAAGACAGACATAGAATACATAGAGAAGCCTGGCTTGACTCAAACCTAATATGTTGGCCTCCAAACGGCTCCTTCCCATACTTCCCGACTGAGTGCCGTAGCTCAACTGGGCATCGACTTCTTGCCGAGAGGGTAGATGGCTGGCGGCCGCTGATAAGATTCATAGTCATCCAGCTCTCCATGCAGGTCGTTGTACACTGATGCGACGAATACTGTGTTGAAGTATTCCCATCCAACGTACTTGCGATCGCAACCGTCAATGGCGGGGTAGCCACCATCGTTCATAGTGACATTGCCCTGAGTGCGGTCCGAAGTCCAGCAGCGATCGATGACGGTGATGACCATGGGTGGTAGGCGACTTCTGAAAAACCGGTCGCCAGTGTCTGCCTCTTGGAACTGAATCACAGTTTCGAGGCACTGCCTGTCAACGTAGAGACAAAAGCGAAAGCCGGGAAGTCTGGTAACATCTGGCTGCTCAATAACACGAGGCGGGGGCTTAACAAGATCCTGTTCGGAGACCCAGCCATCAAAAAGGCGTCTGACGTCTGATCTCGAGGCATTCTACAATTTGTCGCGGTCTTCGATGATGACCCAGTCGAGGTACTTCTCCAGCAACTCAGCTCGACGGCCCTTGACAAGCTCCTCATGGCAGGACTGCTTGAGCTGCGCCAGATAGCGGTTCCAAAGCTCGCCATCGTCGTATGTGCAGCGGTAGATCACAAATCCCCACTTGTGATAGCCGGTTCTGATCATGTTGAGGCAGATTCGGGAAAAGATATCTCTTTGGTAGCCGCCCGGTTGACTTGGCAGCTCTTCGAGCGTCCGGGCGTCGAAGTTGTCACGGTTGCCTCGTGACATGGTGACTCAGGCGATTGAGAAGTTTAGAAATGTCTTTTTGGTCACGCTTTCGACGAACAGTTGAACAGATCCAGAATGAAGTTGGTTCTGCTGCAGGTCCAAGGTGATGTAGGTGCCTTAGTTCGAGGGACTGTGTTGGTTAAATAAGTGTGTAAGAGGTACGTACCTTGCGGTGGTGACAAGGGTATTTTCTAATCCCGGCTATTGGCATAAATCGAACCAGAGACGCAGTTGCCATTTCCTCGCAGCGGAAGCGAGAGCAGGGCGAGTAGTAGCGTAGTCGAAAGCAAGCCGGCGGTTAGCAGTCTTGTCATCACAAATACTCAAAGTCATTCACGAGGATGGATCATTTGGGCGTGGACATCGATGCTGACTAACCACAAACACCCATCGCACGTTTTCTCTTCAACGGGGATTCCCCTAGTCCGGAAGCTGGAGGCCACCAGAAGCAAGATCTCACCCCTATCTGCCACCACCACCGCCACCCATTGAGACACGCCGCGCCGCCTGTCACAGACTTCCCAAGCGCCCGCCCGCCGCCAGCTCTGTCCATCTCATCTCCATCTTACCGTCGGACTCTCTCACACACGGCTTGAAGTGCGCCGTTCACTCACTCGTCCTCGCTCACACAGTACCTCAGCTAGCGCACCTGCACCTCCGCAACACTGACCGCAGCACAGCCCGGCGCTCTGCTGTCCTTGCCTTACCTCATCCTTCTCCCACACACGGCACCGCCAAGCGCACCACCACCACCACCACCACCACCACCACGGCCACCACCCCAGCAACATCAGCAGGGGTCATCACCACCCAAACTTCCCTCCTTCCTTTCCTCTCCACATAATGCTCCGCCAAAGACAACCCGCCGCAGCATCCGCCGACCCCGACCGCGCTCAAAAGGACCAGATACCCACCATGGCCGCCGCAAAGACGACGTCCCTGGACAACGAGCGCCGCCCGCTGCTCCCGCGCCACGAGGACGACGAGCACAGCCAGCCGCCGACCGACGCAGAAGACGACGACAACGACCCAGGCGACGAGAGCAAGATGGCCTGGGCACGCCGGAACCAGTGGATCGTGCTCGCCGTTGCGAGCGGTGCTTGCGCGGCCTTCAACGGCGTCTTTGCGAAGCTGTGAGTTGCTCACCTTGTCATTTGCGCAACCCCTCCACGGCTCAATCGGGAATGTCATGCTAAGAATCCACGACACTCATTCTCATTCACGGGTTATCAATGATAATTGTTGTGGTCGCAAAAGTTCTTCATCAAATTTTGTCTTTACTTGTTTTCTCAAATTTTCGTCATGTCTGCATTGTTTCAATTAGCGTTTGAGCGTTTCAAAGAACAGGAACAAGCCTCTTTGTTGAATGTCTCACTCACAATCAAACTAGGACCACAACGGAACTCACAACGACAATTTCGCAAGCCATCTCCAACTTCCTCCACCTCTCGGATATCGAAGGTGCATTTGAGGTTGTCCTGCGAGCCGTACGACTGATCCCTAAATTCGTCTCATCGCAAGTACTGATTCGTCTCAGGTCTTCTTCGGCCTCAACCTCGTCTTCAATGGCATCGTGAGTCTCTCAACCCTCTCCAGCACGTAAGCAAGGGCCTAAATCGTCGCAGATGTGGACTCTCTTCACAAAGGCCCTCGCCAAGGGCAGCTCCACCACTCAGGTGTCCATCATGAACACCTCGTCAAACTTCGTCATCACCGCCCTCCTCGGCCTCGCCATCTTCTCCGAGTCCCTGCCACCGCTCTGGTGGCTCGGCGCGGCCCTCCTGGTCGCCGGAAACGTCATCATCGGCCGCAAGGACGAGACTGCCGCGGACAAGTCCGCCGACTACGCCCCTGTGCCCCAGCAGCCCGGTCTCGCCCCGGCAGACGGCGCCGAGGAGGATAAAGATGAGTCCGAGGACGAGGACATTGTTGATCTCGGAGACCTTTCGGCTCATGAACATCGCGCTTGACGGCCGTGTAAAGACAAAGAAGGGAGAGAAGTGCATTTGGAAAGTGTTCATGTTGGATGATATGTACAAGAAAACATCATATAGACGATACCCTTGAATATACAGGTCGATGCAAGGTAGCATCCCGTAAGATGTAACTTCAGCACTGGTCGGTGATCATGCTAGGCTAAAGTAGCATCAGTAAAAAGACCCTTGGCAGCCCAAGGTCACAATGCTCAATTCAAGGCCTATGATGTCGCTGCAAGAGCGGATAGTACTCAACCAATTTCACCACACGCAAGAGCAGGAAATGACGGCCCATACCCGAACTAACGTACTAGTTAGTCAGTGAGGTGGCATGTTAGAATTGTGCTTGCGCAGAAGAGATAACTGAACTAAGAGTTGTACTCAACCGAAAAGGGGTAGTATATATCTTGCCTCCCTTCTCCGTGGTGTATCGTGATACTAAACTGGGTCACCAGAAGAACACTACAATCGCTCGATCGGAAAAGAGAGGGCAGCATACTCTTAAAAATCCCTAAGCCATGGGTGGATGGATGTGTGCTAAATATCAATGGAGAACCAGATCCTGACAAAAAAGAAAACCAAAAAAGGGTCAAAAAGTTCAGATCGAACCCAGGGCCCTGGGTTTCGATCCTATGAAAATCCGAGGATTTTGCACTCCGAGTTTAACGTGTTCAGCCATGCACGCCCCAGAGGCACTGCGTGCTAGTTGTCTCTGGGGAACCGAAAGTGCGGGCGGCTCTGACGTCTATAACACTTTGTCTCGTGGGCGAGCCAGACAGGTATCATGGATGGGCAGGAGGTAGGTAGCAAAGGTGGGTGTGCTCCTTCCATTGTTCGGGACCGGAGGGGTCCACAAGGTGAAGTAGATAGAGTACCTACCTTCCTTCCTTCTACCACGATATTAGCAGTACGAAATCACACAAGTGACATCCACACCCGACCGCTGAGAGCATGTCTTGCCCTCTCCTAGGTGAGACTACAACGCCATCACCACAGAGGCTGCGGACAACGGAGCTGCGAATGTTAACATATCACATTCCAAGATATCCCTCGCAAGATATAACGATCAAAAAGTAAGAAAACACGTGACATTCGCAGCCGCCTGCCGCAATCTATCTATTCGTCTTAAGCCCGAAGCCGACCTTGTAAATGCCCATAACGCCATCCGTACATATTTCCCCATAACCCATCAACATCGTACATAACCACAAAATCACCGGTTCTCAAGCTCCAACGCGCCGTCATCAGCATCGTCTTCGTCCCCGTCGAGAATCTGCGCTCCGAGCGGCCGGGCCCCTGGTGACCTCCGCTCGTCAAACGACGACAACCTCACCCTGCCTCCCGAGGCCAGCGCCACCTTATCCGACACCCATCCGGCAGCGCGGCGCATCGCGCTCCACAGCTTCTCATGGCTCTCGGCGAGCGCCGAGTCGTCACGCGGGTTCTCGGCATGCTCGGCCGTGAACTGGTACTTGAGGCAGTCCTTGACCGTCACAAGGCCCGACAGGCGGCCGTGGTACTCGATGAGCACGACGCGCGGGCCGATCTTGCGGAAGAGCTCCATCACCGTCTCGAGAGGGAGGCGGGGGTGCGCCGTGACGGGCGTGGTGTCGATGTAGCGGCTGAAGTCGACGGACGAGGTGGACATGTAGCTGGGGAAGACGGCGACGGTTGGTGTTACCGGGGTCATTGACGCTGGAGGGGGCGAAAAGCTGCACATTGCGTCTTGGCTGATGGATCTCTCACGTCTGATACGATCGATGGCGTAGCGCAGCTCGGTGCGGCCAATGTAGCCGACCAGAATCTTGGAGGTTTCGTCCTCGACGATGGGGAAGCCTTGATATTTGTCGTCTTTCAGCAGACGTTCAAGCTGTGCGAAGGACATGCCATTGACCGGTAGAGACGTGACTTCGGTGCGCATGACCTCTGATACGGGGACGCCAAAGTTGTGTTCTTCCTTGTTGTCTAAAAAGGGGAAACCACTGAACCAGATCATCCTGTCGGCGATGCCGCCTTTGCCGAAGAGCTCGCTGACGATCTTTGTCACGCCGACAACGATCATGGTCGGGAGAATGTAGGTCAGGGCTCCTGTGAGCTCGAACATGATGACCACGACGGACACATATATGTGCATGATGCCACTGAGCGCTGCAGCTGCGCCGAGGAAAGCGTACGTGCCAGGGGTAATGCAAGGCTCGTCTGGCTTGCAAGCTGCGAAGAAGGCGCTCGTGGGGTTCGCTTCGTGGATCGCCTGGACAATAATGCCCACTGTTCGTCCAAATGAAGCGCCGACGGCCATTGACGGAACGAAAATTCCAGCAGGCACTTTGCAGCCATATGAGATGATGACGAGGAGAACCCTCAGAATCGTTGCCAGAGCCAGCGACAGGATGTTGGAAAGCTTCTTGTCCGGCTCGCATAAGCCGTGGTAGTCTTCGCCGCCTTCGCACTCTAGGAACAAGATCTCCATGCTTTCCGTCATGTCGATCCTGAGAAACACATTGGGGTAGCAAATAATTGCCGTCGCGGCAGCCAGAATCGTCGCCTCGGCGATGGCGTATTTGGTGAGGTACTTCTTTCTGAAAGCCTGAGCCCGCAGATTCCACTTGATGACAAAAGCGCCGTAGAGACCACCAAATATTCCCAAAATGATGTAGAACACCACCTCGAAGAAGTGCCAAGAGCGGTCATAGTGAACCTGGAACATGACAAGCTGTCCCGTCCTAAAAGGGTTCATGGCCGCAAGGACAGCTGTCGCTACCAAGGCACAAAAGTAACTGCGCCAGAGCGTCTTCAATGGAAAGTAGCTCGACATCTCCTCCAGAGAGAAGAGCACTCCACCAATGGGACTGCCGAATGCGACGGCGACACCCGCCGCGGCGCAAGCACTCAGGATCTCCCGGGTCTTGGCGGCGTTGCGGCGGTATTTGTCAAACAACCGCGAGATGACGTTTCCGGTGCACACGGCGTAGTGCACGCTGGGCCCTTCCTTTCCAACTGACAGCCCAGACGCAATGGCCAGGGGCAGACAGACAGACTTGATCAGGAGGGTCCAGAACCCCAAGAACCCCTTCATGACGAAGCCTGCGATGATGCACTTGATCTCCGATATACCCGATCCTGCCGCATACGGAGCAAATGACTTGACGAGTGTCGCCGACGTGAACGCAAAAACCGTGCCGAAGATGATGTAAAGAAGGTAGTTGACAGGGCCGAAGCCCGTCCACTTGTGCCACTCAGCGCAACCGTTGTCCTCGCCCCAGCAGCAGAAGTTCTCGTTCAGGTAGAAGGCCGTCGTGCAGTAGCCCATCTTGATATCGGAGAGCCACTCGGTGATGATGTTGAGGAAGGCAGCGTTGAGGCCGATCGTGATGCCTATCAGAGTAACCACGAGCCAGCCCTGCGCAGCGTCGTAGCTCTCGCGCAGCCGGTACCTCCACCCAGCCTGGCCGGTGTCGAGCATGCCGGCGCGCCGCCGACGTCGCAGTTTCCTCCTCGCCTGCTCTCGGGCGGCGTCCTGGACCCAATCTATGGTGGTGAAGTCCTCGTAGCGCTTGATCTCGGCGATCTCCTCCTCGATCTGCTGCTGCTGCTGCCGCGGGCCGGGGGCGGCCTCGCCTGCCTCGTTCTGCTCTTCGTCATCGTCGCTCTGCTCCGCGTTCGACACGGCAAACGAGAGCCTCGATGTGATGGAAGGGCGCGGGAGCCGGTGCGGGCTGTGGGAGAAGGATGTGGTTCGTGAAGTCATTGTCGGCTGGGCAGCGGCGGCGGCGCACTGCTCATGTTCGCGACAGCGAGGCAAATTGGGCGCAAGGTGGTGATTCTTCTGGGCGACCTGTGCCCTCGTTCGAACGTCGCCCGTGGGAATGCTTCTTCGGTTCGGTAATGATTCGACAGGGAAGGGGGTCTGGTGTAGGTAGTTTGCGATCGGTATCTGTAGTCTGTCCTGAGCTTGCTGATCTCTGGGGAATCCCCAATGCAGGTTGCGGGCGATGCTGCTGGTGGTTGCGCTGGAACCGGCGCCGGGGATGGGGGGGGGTTCCAATGATGGTATGCTGGGGTCGACTGGGTCGACTGGGTCCCCCCTGCAATTGGTGCTTAAGCTTTGCGGCTTGGCTGCGGGCAGCGGTTCAAACCAGCGCGTTGTCAGTGGTCGCGTCTCACTGGCCTTTTTTTGGCGCGACTCTATCAAAAGTGAGCCTCTCCTTGACGACCACCTTGGCGAAGACATCTCACTCAACAACGAACTCGACGACTCTACCACAACGGCTACCTCGAACACAGAGAAATCGGACACTTGAGGGTACAATATCATCATTGATTGACTGCTCAAGAGATCTCAAGCCCGATCAAGCCCCCTTTTGCCTTCGCCATCCTCGGCAGGCATAGACACCGAGTCTTGGAACAGGTTGGTAATTTCTATTCAATTTCTCCCCATCCGGCCTCTGCAGCTCCGAAAATACCAATGTTGAGCCGATGCCCTCACGAGCAACTTTTTTGAGGCGTTTTCACTTAAAACAGCCGTCTGGGGTCTACTTATAAAAGCTTCGGGAAGTGTGGCTTGAGATCTCACTTCCAGCTTGAGGCATTGTCACTCAGATCATCGCTTCTATACCACGGCTAAGAGTCTCTCACTGACTCTCATACAGACTCAAGTCTTTCAACCTCTCACCCAATCAGTCTCCCCACCCAACTATCAAAGATGCCTTACAACACCAACGCCATTCCTCCAAGGAAGGAGGTAACAGGCCAGCCGGCTCTGCCTCGTATGCTGCCCTCTCACGACGCTCTCCTCGAACCAGTCCACCTGACAATCTCACAGTGGCCCGCGTGAAGAAGATCATCGCCACAGACCCAGACATTGGCATCTGCTCTAACAATGCTGCATTCGTCATCACACTCGCAACAGTAAATTCCCCCTTTTCTCCAGAGCGAACCCTCACTCACAAGTCTCACAGGAGATGTTCATCCAATACCTCGCCAACGAGGGCCAGAACATGGCCAAGATGGACCGCAAACCCCGCCGCAACGTCCAGTACAAGGATCTCGGTAAGCTTCTTCTCTTCCTGTCCCCTTTTCTCACGGAGAAAGACGAAACTAAAACCGCCGCCCCTGTAGCAAACGCCGTCAACCATCACGACAACCTCGAATTCCTCGAGGACGTCATCCCAAAGACTATCCCCTACAAGAAGATCAAAGACCAAGCCGCAATCTCCCGCGCGAACCCCAGAAAGGCCGACTCGGAACCTAAGAAGCGCCAGTCCACCACCAACGGCGTCAACGGCACCGCTGCTGGCCCCGCTGCCGCTGCCGCTGCTATGCAGGATGACGACCCCAACGCCCAGCTTGAGGCAGAGGCTCGCCAGGCTGACGGCGACGTCGATATGACGGGTTGAAACCGTTTCTTACCTGCCTCAAAGACATGGACCCCCTGATCATCCGCCGAACTAATGGCCAACGGGGTTTTTAGGATTAATCAGACCAAAATCACACATAACCACACATCCCCAGCACCATCAAATTAGGTAGCACATAGCCTCTTAACGAAGTGTACGAATACCAAATCGAACCTTTTTTCTCTTTTTCTGCATCCATAGCACGGATCCGCATCAAGGTGAAACTGAAACCTCTCTTTTTGTTCGTAATAACGCCAGTCCATGAGAAAAAAAAAGCATCATCTCGCCTGTGACCTTTCCTCCAGCTCAACCCTCCATGGTAGCATCTCCGTCGAGGTGTACTCCCGCAGGGATGGTCCCCTCCGTCAACATCTTCTCCAGACGGATAATCTCCTGCAAACTGTCCGCCTTCTTGATCATCTCCTTCAGCCGCTCCTTCTCCTTGTCCGTGAGCTTTATCCTTGAGAGCTTCGACGGGGCCGCAGCGCCGTTCGCCGCGGAAACCTCGAGCGTCTTGGACTTGATGCCCATGATCTGCCGCATAGTGAATCGCACCATTAGCCTTCCTGTGCTTTGAATGTTCGAGAGACAGAGATAGAAGAAGAAACATACCTTGGAAGCCAAAGCAGAAGGCTCCTCTGCCGTGCCAAACAGCTCCCTCGCCTTCTCCCTCTCCGCCTCCTTGACCTTGCCGTAGTCCAGGAACCGCACCGTCGGACACCGCCACACGACCCAGTACCGGTAGTTCTCCCTCTTCGTGACCGGGTTGTCCGCCAGCACCAGGTGCGTCAGCCGCTTGAAGCCGGCCAGCGCGTCCAGGTCCGCAAGCTCCGCCAGGTTGTTCGCCGCGAGCACCAGCTGCTGCAGGTTCGGGATCGCGTTGGGCAGCGTCGGCTGTATGCTCGACACGCGGTTGCGCGCCAGCAGCAGCGTAGAGATGCGCGGCGACAGCGGGAAGTTGCCCAGCACCTGGATGTCGTTGTCTGTGAAGTCGATGGAGTCGTGGGGCTGTTTTCCGCAAAAGTCAGCGAGACAGATCCGCCAGTCGTCGGGTTGCAGCCTCCGTAGACAGGAAACGCACCCGCCCTTTGGGAAGGGAGGAGGGAAAAGGAAAGAACTCACGCCAGCAACACCCAAATTCTCAATCGCCGGGATTCGATGTCCTACACAAACCCTCATCCGGGCCCCGCTATCAATTCTGTTCCTCTATAGCTCATTTATCATGAGTAGTGTAGCATCTGCTCTTTTCACGCACCTCGGAGATCTAGCTCACGCTCCTTGAGCGGGTTCAGGTAGGAAAGCGAGTCCCTGATGAGCTCCGCCGTGAGCCTCATCTTGGGCTGTTGTTACCTCGGGGTTATGATGGGTGGTTTTTGGAGTGGGTGGCGCTGTTGCGAAAGATTCGGTTTGGGTACGGTGCAATAATTTGTCGTCGTATACAGAGGAATCGCCGTCGTGTGTTCGAGATGCGCAGGTGTTTTTGCGCCGTCGCAATTGGGTTGTCGCGTGGGTGTCGTGACGAACAGGCAAGGCTGAAAAGTTGGCGGTCGACGAGGCGGCTATCCACAAAATTTGGCCGGCCGTCTGATAAGAGCTCTCATCCCCGCCTGGGCATACAGTGTTCATCCGGAGTACGTACACAGTAAGACCCCGCCAAACAGCCGTTGTCGCACAGTGCCTGTAATAACATGCTTTCCTGTCCTCTGAAGGTACCAAAGATGTGAAGAAAACATTCTATCTCATATTCATTATGTATTTTAAGGTATCTATGCCAATGATTCCAAGTTAACGCCCTCGCGTGTACCATCACGAAAAAACAAAAATCACCCCAGACCTGTCCACTGACAGGGTCATGCTGTAAGGCAACTCCAGCAGCGCCACATCCATAATCGAATCCAAGTGAGATCGCAGCAGCTGCTGATGTTGAAGAGATATAACTGTAGAGCGCGTTGGTCGTCCGCCGGTGGCCTTCCCCTTCGTTCCGCCCGCCGCGTTGGATGCTGTCGCATTCTGCCTCGGAATCCTTTCCGTGTTCAGAGTCATGGATGTTGTCGGGTGAGAGGCCGCAAACGTAGGCCTTGGGTCGTCAACTTGCAACCCGCTGTACACCGCAGAGCTTTCAATGCGGGAAAGATCCCAGAACCTGAGCTTCTTGTCTGATCCGCCGGTGACGATGAAGGCATGTCGCACATCTCGCGAGTCGTCGGTGGCGCCTGTGCCTGCGATCATGGCACGAACACCGCGGTCCGCGTTTCCACTTCCGCTCGTCTCGATATTGGTCGCAAACCGGCCCAGCATGCCCTCAGGCTTGTCTTCGTCCACTTCCCATGGCTCGTATCCCTTTGGCCCTTCCTTGTTGCCACCGACCCGATAGATCTCTCTGCAAATTGTGCGTTCAAGATCCCAAACTGTAACTTCACCCTGACCCGTCCCGCCAGCGACACAGACCCATTTACCTCGTCCCTTGCTAGGATGTATACACAACCGGTAGATCGAACTCTTGCCGGGTACACCCCAGCCCTTGAGCCTCATGCGGAATCTCAAGTCCCAAAGGTCGAGAACGCCATGTGTAGTTCCTACGCACAGCCAGTTTCTCTTGCGATCCACGCAGAAGCACGTAGGAGTCCCATGATGAACGGGGTTCTCTAGCGTGTACAGCAAAGTCATCGTTCGAAGGTCAATGCCTAGTATGCGCGACCGGTTTGTCGCCAGCAGCAGAACTGAGGTACTGTCGATCTTAAAGTGCTCACACCATACGGCGTGTTCATCCTTGGGAAGCTGATACTCTCGGAGAAGACGTAATTTCCCGTACCGCAGTACTCCGCTGGCCGATACAGTCTCGACCTTGACAATGTGTACACTGCCGTCGCTTGCACAGCTGATGAAGCAATGCGTGTTCTCGATGAAGCACAACGCAAGAACTCTAGCTCCTTCCGCGTGCTTATGTGTTTGTCTGGACCGGTGCGTGATGTTCTTCTCAAGCCGGGCACTATCCCAGACCTTGACATTACCATCATCGCCACCGGTAACGAAGAATACATGGTCTGGAGACGCCACGATGCGGTTGATCGCACCGGTGTGCTCTGCAAAAGTAGCAACCATGCGGCCAGTTGGTCGCCAGGGGTCATCACCAGACTGGCCAACAGACCGGTTTGGCTTGCGACGAGTAATGGGAGTGACCATAGGCCCAAATTCGGCGATGTCGTGGGGGTAGTTGTCTTGGTACATCGAATCTAGCATCTTGAGAATGCTAGGGTCAGATCCCTCATACGAGTGATTCGGCCTCAACTTCGTTACGACGCTAGTAGTACTGGTCCGGCGATCCTGCATGTCGGGCCGGACAAGTGGCGCTTGGGCAAAAGGTCCCTCCACTTCCCCGAAAGCGTTGGTGCCAGACATGCCAGTCTCAGGTATGCTTTTGTTGCCGTCTTTGCGATCCAATAAGCTCAAGGCGCTGGACTGATGTCGGATTGCCCTCCGGATTGCGTAAGGCTGATCGTGAACCGAAGCGCTGTCATCCGTCGGGCTTCCTACTGTGAGCTTGCCTTGGCCGGTTGACGAGCGTCTCGATGGGTCAATTGATCTGACGCGCGATACGTCCCGTGATGAAGAGCCTTGGTCTTCCACCACGCGCGTACGCAGACTATTGAGGGCTGCAAACTTCCGTTTGCCTGTGGAATCGTCGATAGTCATAGAAGCGTCCAATAGAGCGTCGGCAATTGTGTAAGGGCCCTTTTGATCTACATCGGGTTGGAATGTAGACTGCTGCAGCGGCTCCTCGTCGAAAAAGACTGTCTGCGGTGTGAGGCCGAGGCTCTTGAGGGAGATTACCTCGTTCAACTTGGCTGGGTCTCGATCGACGCCGTCTCTTGATTTCATCTTGCTAACGCGGTAGATGAACTCCCGTAACGCAAGGAGCTTGAACTCATCATCTGGTCCGAGCCCGAGGTTTCGCAGTCGGTCAAGCCACTGCTCGTCCTCATCATTTCTCGAAACCTTGCTCAGCGTGTCCTTAGACGCTCGACCAGTGATGGTCTTCGGGAGGGACCCATAAGAGAACGATCGAATCTGCTGCGATAATTTCCAGAAAACGCCCTTGTCCGTTTTGAGCGCCCACATCAAGGCCTGGTCGAATACAGCTCTCGACATGGGACGCTTCAGAGCGTCCAGGAGTGCGAGCTCGGCAAACTCGGGCACCATTCCCGTTTTGAGGTATTGCTTTACCATGGGAAAGACGATACACCTGACATCTGCCCGAGACAGAAAGCGCGTGGCTTCAGATAGAAACTCTGTGGCGGATTCTCGGATCCAGACGTTCGGGTGCATCGTAAAGCGTACGACCACATCAATAAGCTCCCACATCTTCGTCTTTGAAAGCAGGCCCAGCCTCGCCAATTGTGCTAGAGAATGGAGAGCCGCCTGGACGACGAATTCTTCTGGATCAGTCAGAGCCTGGACCATGAGAGGTAGCATGAACTCCTCCAGACTGACGCTGCCCACCAGACTAGCGATGCTGACTATAGTCTCGAAGAAGGCGCACTTCAGCATCCAGTCGCGGTCGTTCAGGTAGGTGTTGAGATGTGTGAGAAGAATATCATTTGCCTCCGCTGGGCCGAAAAACAGGCACAGATTGGGCACTGAGGTCAAAAATGCTCTGCGAACAGACACATCTGGGTCCTCAACCAGGGCTTTTGTGTGTAGCTCGAACATCTCATAGAGCTCCCTCTGCGCATCGTCGAAGAGGCCATCAAAGGCAGCCTCAGCCTCGATTCCAGGTTCAAGCTCGGGGTCGGCGACAGTCAGGGTGCCATCCGCCTTCAATGTCGCTGCCAACTCCAGGAATCGTGCGGCAGTGTTTGCAAGACTCCCCAAACATGATGCATAGGTGGCTCTCACTAACGGGCTTGGTATGTTTGCATTTGCGACGATGGCGCCCTGCAACCTAGGCAGGATGTACTCGACGAAAATGTGTGAGTTGACAGGAGAGACGACCCGCACGAGTTGCAGAAGCTGGGTGACGGAGCGGAGACCCGCGATGACCACAAGATCGGACTTATCATTAAGAAGCGTCATGAGGTATGGCAGTACTCGATCCAGCTTTGCTTCGTCCGTAATTCTCTCGGAAAAGGCAAGCAAAACATCGCAGGCTCTGATCTTTGACGCCGCCCTCGCCGTGTTTCGGAGAGATGATACGATCAGCGTCAAGAATATGAGCGTCCCGTCGTCTTCTGGAGGATCTGATGCCCCCGTGATGTAATTTTCGTGGTTGGGTATGTTGAGGCGTATCGGGAAATGGCCCAGTCCAAGTTTCCCGGCTAAGGGCTCAATCTGCGTTGAGCGCTTTTCGTTCTGGTAGCCAAGGAAGTAGGAGATCTTATCAAAGTCGAGGAAGACACGGTCGATGCGGTCGTCGGCCTCGCCCAAATTCCTTGTCGCACCAGAGATGGGGTTGTTTCCAGAGGACGGGTCTGTGATGAGCTCCATGTATTGATGGAGAAAGTTGTAAAAGTACTCGGGGAACACCTTCTTCTTCCAGAAATCCAAGTACTGCTCTGCCGAGTATCGCCGCTCCGGATCTAGTTGAATCATGTGCGAGATCATGTCGCGCAAGTCCTTGTCTGGAATGCGACTGATCTGGGAGATGACCGGATCGTACTCGCCCTTGCGATACTTATACAGCTGGCTGAGCGTGAAGATCGGCGACTCAAGAAACATTTCTGCAATGACGCAGCCGGCGCTGAAGACATCCATGGCCCACGTGAGCTTTGCGTCCTTGCTGTCAACCTCGTCGGCCGGGACGAATCGTTCCGGGGCGACGTAGCACGTTCGCCTTCCAGAGGTATCAAAGTAGTATGAGAAATCCCCGGGATTATCATCCGGAAGCATGATAGGTTTGAAGGGGGAGGAGAAGTCGGACAAGTAGAGCCAGTTCCACGACGTCACCAGCGTGTTCTCGGTCTTGATATCGCCATGGTAGATGTCTCGTGCGTGGCAGTCGCGCAAGGCGCAAAGCAGCTGGAAGGCCAGCCATTTCTTCTCGATGTCTTCCAGAAACGGTCGGGTGCTCATTCGATCGTATAGGGAGTTGTAAAGGAACTGTCGGACGAGGTAACCGTTCGTCTCGGTTTCGACGATGCGTTGGAAGCCCAAGGCGTTGGGCACATCGGCCAGAGCAGTGCGCTGCTCTGTATCAGGTCAGCCATGAAGCTTAACGTCGAGCGAACGGCGATCGGTCACTCACTCTCAATATCGCGCTTGTACTTCTCCAGAGGCATCGGGGTGTATGGTTTCACCAAGACCTTGACCAGGGCGACCCCATCATGGTGCCTGGCGC